CAACTAAAGAGATTTCATCTTTACTTCTCTCTGATTTTTTAATACAACCTATTATTTGAAAGATTATGACAGAATTTTTTGGTTATGTAACATTGGAGCATTTTCAGCAATCAGAATTATATGAAAACAATCGTAATTTGTAAATATAATTGGAATTTGTTAAATAGTACCTCTAGGGAACAATCTTTTAATACATAACTCTATAAAACACGTCTAGGGAAGGTTATAAACGGCATAATTGGTTACCTGGTCACCTTGTAGGCTCCGTCATATTGGGCCACTTCCTCACCCAATATGAACACCTTGTCGTCTCTTTCCATCTCCTCATCAATCGCACTGTTGAGGGCATCACGCACAGTCATAGGCTTAGCAGCTAAAGCGCTAGATGTAGAGAAATGCCGAGGCAACCGAGAGAGCCACCCGAAAATAACCGGCGACGATTTCAACGCCATTTTCATTTCAAAACTAGATTATTACACTTAAAAGCTTGGCAAATCTACACTTATGGACCTCTTAAGAGATTTTTTTAGTGATTATTGTCGAAAATGGTGTTAAAGGTAGTATTTTGATGAGACGAAGGATGAATGGAGGTCGTAATTAGTGTTGCCAGCTTCAATCCACGTTTACCCAAACGTCACATTGTTTTTTCCTACACCTCTTGTTCCAATAAAAGATCAAAATGTGCCAATGTATTCATTATTTTTCTTTTGTGTTATTATAAGAAAGTGTAGGTAATTTTCTTATATGAGATAAAAATTGATCTGTATTAAGTTAGAGTGTGACTTACAAAAAAGAGAAATTAATTAAAATTTGTAAACTGAAATGCTTTCATGTTCTGGCAACATTTACAACTAGTTTTGAGCTGTCAGCTGTCAATTTCACGTTTCGTTTACCGATTCGTTAATTTCGTTTAGAATTCCACACCATTTTTTAAAACTTCAATGAAGTCGGTTAAAAACAGAATTTTAACGAATTAACGACTAATTGACAAAAACCAATTTACATAAGTGTGATCTTCAATTAGTTAGGTATCGTACTTATTAAATACCCACATTACCTATGTACCTATTAGAACCTATTTCAAAACCTATTTGCCAAAACAGTAAATACATATCGTTTATTGACTTTATGTAGAAACTATTTCTCCTCTATCTTTATCTTGGTGCCTACTTGGTGAAAATAAAGTTTATTATGTTCTCAAAACTAAGTCAAGGCCTTCTTCTATTCAGTTAGGTCCCTAATCCACCGAATTATAGGCAATTGTTATAAGGACGTATATGGAGCGTACTTTTATTGCCATATAATATCCGCCTCGGGACATCCTCAAGTAAAAAAGGTCATCAGCAACAAGGCCAATGGCTTTTAACACTTCTTTTATGCATTTTTTATTTTCATTATAAGAAAGTTATTAGCTACGTAAATATTGGCAAAGTTCTTCATAATGGCGGACTTCATCATATTGTTAACTTCATTGAATAAAAAAGTCTGATGTTACTTGAGTTGTACCGTATATACGTACGTACTTTTTAAATTTTCTCTCAAAGTTTACCCAATAATTTTCAGTTTTACGAAACCCTTTCTCATTCATAATAGCTCTGCCATAATAGCCAGCTTGCTAATTACTCGCCATCGGGTCGGGCAACGTCCCACCCCATCGTAACTCTCTTACCTTTCCCTCACATCATTAATTATCCCCATAGGATTCTAAAACAGGATTCTCGTAAATAAACTAATATGTGTGCAGACTTGGGTCGGTCGCCCTGGGCCGCGGACGTAGCTACGTCCCGGTGATCGCGATAAGCGAGGATGTTGCCCTTATCTTAGGCTTAATGGTCTTCTGTGTTATGGATAGTTTGTAGGCTTGTGCCTAACTACCTATTTACATTGACTATAGGTGGCGAGATTGTTTTACCTGGAAATCTTGTTAGGCATCTAAGCAGGTAGTCAAGTATTGACCGAGAAATAATTTTTGTCTGAAAGTACAAATACCATTTTTATTCTTAATCTGTGTATTTTAAGCGGACTATCAATGAAAAACTCGTTAAGAGGCATCTTTGCTCTATTTGATTTATTGCATAAAATAGGGCATCCATTCAATATTATCTAATTATCATAATGACAGTCATAATGTACTGAGGTCACTCGCTTCCCGCTAATTTCTGGACGTGGCCCAAAATGCGGCCAAAAACAGTCTGCCATTAAATCTTTACAGTTGCAAGCGGCCTTGGCCCACTTACCCTTCGCCTGGTAACTCTTTACCGGAAAACCGTATCTTACACGTAACATAACGTTACGGGTTTACGTTCAGTTAGAGGAATCCTTGTAAAAATTGCAAGATATCTGTAGATTGAGCACTCTCAGTCGCTTAATGGTCACGCGACGGCTCAGGTAATGGCAGTTTTATTAGCATCGATAAACGCTTAACTGTCAACTTTACACGTGTAGAACAGTCAGAATTAGCCGTCGCGTTTCGTCTAAAAGGATTACATTTTGGTAGTTCCAAAAGATCATAATATCATTTAGTTCTGAACATAATCACTTCGGTTTGGACACCATTTTTTTGATATATTTTAGTGTGATAAGAAATTGTCACTATAATTCAGATGCGTTTATTCATTAATTGTTTTATGGTACCTACCTAGTTTCGAATGACTACATTCGAAACTATTGAGAGCCTACCAAATTAAGGAGCAATAAAAAATAAAAAAAAAACGCCCTATGTTGTATTCAATAGCCAGATACTTTCCGGATATAAAGCCCAGTTTTCAAACTCAGTTTAAACAAGTTTAAAGCAGTTACTCCTAGTAGCCTACCTCTAAAGCACAACCTCCTTAGTCCTGCAACCTTGGAACTTATAAGCCCTTTGTAACCAGGTCAAGTGTTGCTCTCTTAAAAAAAGACAATATACTTTTTCATTTCGTGCAAAATCTGTGAATGTTCTTGTATTTACATAGAATTGTTTAAAGGCGGGACTGTTGTGTTAAATTGAGTATATGAAGCCTAAGTTCTGTTTGGTTATGACCTAAATATTATTATGTAGGGCAATTAGAGGTCGTAATGTTATAAATGTTATGACTGTTAGTGATTTGTTTTTGAATGTAAGTCAGCGAATGTATTATGTAATGCTAATATCAACAAGGTTGTGATTATGTACGGTTTTGTTATGTTTAACGTCTGTTTAATTTCCTTGAAATTATTAACTTAGGTACTAACTGAGCCGGCAAACTTCGTACCGCCTAAAAATTATTTTGTCACATTTTAATCTTCCATGAACATTTCAAAACCAATATTGGTCAAAATCGGTTCAGCCGTTCACTAGTTTTAGCGAGAATACTGAACGGAAATTATTTTTTTTATGTGTTAGATAGTTCATACAAATTACGTTCATAATTATATGATACTTAGCGACTATACTTACCTAACTTAAGTATACATACTTACAAATCCACTAAACTTTCTTAAACTTAAAGCCAGAACTTGCAAAACTACGTTAACGTGTGTGTACCTAATATCATTTTCCCTACAAAATAGCTTGTAACCGCAGCAATATAACATGACAGATATTTCCAAGTGATTTATTGAAGAAACCATCTTGTATGCAAATATGTCGAATGTCGGGTAAACATGGTGCTCCCTCGGGAAATCCGAATATGCGTGGCGAACTAGCGATCATAGTGAGATGTAGCGCCTGTCGGGCTTTTTATAGCAATCAACTAAGTGTGAAACGTCTTGCTTTATGTTCACCACTATTAGAAAAACAAACAAACATAACATCACGCCTTTTATACCCGAAGGGGTAGGCAGTGGTGCACATTACGCCACTGTACAATGTAACACCCACTTTTCACTATTTATATTATGAGTCCCATGTAATAGGGTGTAAGCCTATTGTCATATACCGGGCACAATTCCAGACTCCGTGCTACTACTGAGAATTTATAAAAACCCAGTAATACTTTGCCCGACCCGGGAATCGAACCCGAGACCCCTTGCCTGGCAGTCGCACTTGCGACCACTCGGCCAACGTGGCAGTCAAACAAAAAAAATGGTTATTAATTCTTTCATTACGAATTTTTTAATAATGACGTAGTAATCTTGAGACAAGGTGGTTAGACGACCAGATACAGGTCGCTTCCAGTCGGCCTATCTATATTGGGGGAGGCCTATGTACCTACAGCAGTGGACATCTTGTGGCTGATATTATGATGATGATGAACATACTAAATTAACTGAAATAGATATCACTAGCTTTTACCCGCGGCTTCGCTCACGTCACAAAAGGATAAAAAGTAGCCTATGTGATATACACCAATACAGACAGTGCCATCTATACCTACCAATACTTTTGTTTTCCCTCGAGAATATCATTTTTTTTCCGGGATAAAAAGTACCCTACTATTTAATCCAGACTTCTAACTTCACGTCTGCAAAAATTCAAAGCAATTGGTTTAGTAGTTACGGCGTGAAAGTGGAACAAACAAACTCACTTTCCGATATAAAATATAAGTAAGAATAACTACGATTAAATCATGAATATGAGTTCCGACATGACTTTTTTTTTTATTTATTTATTTATATCAAAAAACAGCTAATTTAATCTTCACAGGTACTTAGCCTAATACGACAAAATTAGTTACATAATATAAAATTTCAAAATTCAAAATTACATTATACATATGAAAGTTACATTATACATACGAAATCTAAACAAAGTATCACAAAAAAAAAATAATAATAATACCACCACTAAAGTTTTAAATACTAACAACACTATAGGTGGCTCTTGTGAACTCATTCAACGAACACGCAAACAAATCGACCCCACTCGACACTGCGTTGAGCGTGTCGAGTGGGGTCGATTTGTTTAAACGATATTAGAATATGAAGATAGAGCTTAAACGATATTTATCTTCAACCATAGAGTTTCAGACTATTTAAGAAAAAAAAGAAAGCCAACATTAGTAGACAAAATTTTTTTTATTCTATACTTATATGCTACAATGCTGATTGGTAAATTAAATCACAAATGGCTAACCTAACAAATAAAAGTTCAAAAAATAATAGTAAAAATTACTTTGAAAGGATATACACAACAAAATCTTGAGTTTTTTTCTTTAACTTTTCTTCAGAATGAACCAAACCATGTTTTCTTCTTTTTGCAGCATATAAATCTTCATTAGTGACTTTTGATTTCAATTTAAGTTTGTAGTACGTGAAGCTAAGTAGTTTATACAGTTTGATAAACTTCATCCTGTGCGAGGCGACCGTAGTTAGCCATTCTATCTCTATTGTTTGTCGAATGGAATCATCTTTGGCACATTTCCGCAGCAATGGATTGATTTCGTTATCGGTGAGGAACGGACTTGCTAAACGCACAATGCGGTCAAATGATTGCTGGAAGGCGTTGAATGTAGTTATCAAATCTTCAATACGTTTGCCCATTGGATCATTTACGTCGAATATCAAGCCACTTGTGCTAATATTCTGTAGCATAGGAAGTCCAGGAACAGAAATAGGCAATGGTTCATTGATGGTAGGTACCATTAAGTAAACGTGTTCAGCTTGTGCAATAGTCATGTACCTGTTGTTATTTTGTGAGGTTGTAGATCCATAGATGACTTGAGATCCTGGAGCAACTGGTTCATCATCTGAGTCTTGACCTTGTTCGGCAGGCAGATATTTATTTCCCAACTGCTGATTTATTGGTCCATATACGATTGTAGGTAATGTTAATGTTCTTTTAGCGGCTGCTGACAGTCTTCCATTTGCAGATGATTGCGTTTCGTTAAGAGGTGGCGACAGTGTTCCATTAGATGATAGTGTTCCATTAGCACTTGTCAATGGTGTTTTGTTTTCGGCCGCTGATAGTGTTTCATTACTCGATGCCAATAGTGGATCTTCAGCAGGTAAGGATAGTGTTTCATTAGAGAGTGTTGGTAGAATCCTGTTAGCACTCGGCGATAGTACTTTGTTATTAGCGGGTGATGGTGCTTCACTTATGGACGACGATAGTTGTTCCTCGGCGGGCGATGTTAGCGTTTCAGTACTGGATGCCAATAGTGGTTCTTCAGCAGGTAACGATAGTGTTTCATTAGAGAGTGTTGTTAGAATCCTGTTAGCACTCGGCGACAGTGTTTCGTTAACGGATGACAATATTGGTTCTTCAGCAGGTGACAGTAGTGTTTCATTAGAGAGTGATGGTAGAGTATCGTTGACGCTCGGCGATAGTGCTCCGCTATCAGCGGGTAGTGGTGCTTCACTTATGGACGACGATAGTTGTTCCTCGGCGGGCGATGTTAGTGTTTCATTAGCAAGTAATGATAGTGATCCATTGGTGGGTGTCGATAACGTTTCTTGGCAACAACGGCAAACGATGAAGTGCTATTCTTCAGCAGTTGAGTTTGTCCTTCTTTAACCGGTAATGTTTCAATTTCTTGAAACAATGTCCCTATTATAAGGATAAGCCCGCTTAACGAAGTCCTCTTGAACGACATTATTCCTTCACTCTTTGATTTGGTATGAAGCTCGTAATTCTTGTTTCGCATTATATACCAATAATTATTATTCTTTATTGCTCACAATCTAGGAAAATTTAATTAAAACATATCTTTATTTTACCGAATAGGCTAAAAGTTAACCTCTTCGTCACTCATTAATATATTTTCTGGAATTTAAATAAACCCAACTTTCTTATCGTGAGGATATACGTCACCGTTCGTTAATAAGCACTCCATTAAATATTGTTTGTGGTTTAATGAGTCATGATACTGATAAGATACGTTGCGGATTTCAAAACATTAGATTTTCGTATTTGAGAGTTGAAGATTCCAGTGAATCATGTTAATTATCTATCATAGGAGAAATATTGATACGGCATTTCAATTTCCATCGATGTCCACATTCTAAATTTAAGATTTCGTTAAAATAAAACCAGTAATTATACAGTGCATGCTTTTACTAAAATAACTAAGTTCACTATTCGATAGTTTTCATACAAATGGTGTGACAATTTATGTAAATAGATAACAATAGATCTTCAAGGCTTAGCCACATTGGAATAATGTGACAGAACTTTCCAATCAATCCAAGTGCCACGTACTGATGTCATTGCAGATACGGTGTACCTCAGAAGCCCTTGCAGACTCAATCCTCCGATTTTCTTTTTCAAATGTGTAGCGACGTCAATATTATACGTGTAAAAATTCATTCGATTTTGAAGATCCTGCAACACTAATTTTGCTGAAGCTACTTCTAGCAGGATTAGCTTCATGTCAAATTGGTTTTCTTCAGTATTCAATCCACTAGCATTATCCATAGGCGTTGATCCATAATTGATGATCAGCGGGCTAATTGTATTCTCTAGTTCATCACAAGATTCTCTAAGCTGGTTCAGTGCAACCTCAATGATGCTTGTCACAAACCATTCTCTCGTCTTGGGCTTCTTCAAAAAATCTTTCACAGGTACGCTGTTCCAGAAAATGTACATATCATCAGATTCGTAGTCAGGAGGCTGTTCGAAGATAAAGCTTGTCTTTGAGAGTACCTTTATGTACTTTTCACTTGGGCAAATCAGATAATCATAAGTCTGTAGACCAAGTTCTCGTAACTGGGAGGTAGACGTCCCATATCATCTTGTGGTCCCATGGATTCATGATTGAAGTCGAGTATAGCTGGATATAAAGGCTTATAGTCTTTATGACGCATCTGCACTACCCATGCTTGACCCCCTACAAAAGAGACGAACAGTTTTAGAGAGGCAAGATTCACACAACTATAACTATAACTTAGGAAATACATCAGGTTTTAGTCCACCTATAAAAAATGTCAATTGAAAATAAGTTTTTAATTAGGATTCAGGAAAATATGTCTGATTCAAAAATTACTTACGGGTAATTGAAAATCTACTAGATCCGCTCATGGATAAAGAATGATATGGTGTTGCGTCAGCTGCGCCAATGAAATCCGCAGTAATTCAACCATTTTTTACCCGAAAATTATTTGTAGTTAAAAATACTGACTATTAAAGCGCAATTCAATAATATATTCTCTATTACTAAGAACTTTTTATTTAGCGATAATTTAAGTGATGAAATTTTGTAAATTGATAACGAATAAAAGTAAAGAAATTGGTCACTTACCGAATATACTTAGAACTAAAACGAAGAATTCCTTGGACGACATGGTTGCTGTGAGATTGCTCACCCGAAGTGTGTGTAGAACTGTCGATACATTCGAGTAATACTTGCGCTTTATAGACTTGGCCGTATCTCGGGAGAAAGACTTACTGTGATTGGTCGATACAAATTTGACTAAATTACTGACGCAAATCAAAGTCAGAAAGTTCATAGCTCAAGCAACCAAGTTCCTGCAATATAGTAAGCTACAATCTTAGTTTTACTAATGTCTTCGTCAGCAATAGTCTTTTCCTTTTGACTTCTTCAGTGCGTTTGTACTGCAAATACCTACACAATTGTATTTAACGGTTTAAAGCCGTCACGTGTTCGTTCTCGTGTGTTCACTAAGCCATAGTATAATTCTTTATACTATGACTAAGCTAACGCGTGTTCGAATAATAACTACCAATAGGTATTTGCTCGTTGTTATTTGGTACGTCCGTACCAAGTCAAGGGCCAGTTGAATTCAAGGTCAATGACTTGTTACTGCGCTGTATCGGATCACGTGATTTCAATTATTATGATTAAATTTTTGTATAATTATCAGCAATAAGGATAATGAATCATTAAACTAATTTATTTAACTGTAAATTTTATGAAACAGTCTACGGAGTGTTACCGCACGCGCATGACGTGCGAGTTGCCTCTATAAAATGCGGCGCTGGCACAAAGGCTGGGTTGAAAGCATAGTAGCCGACATGTTGCCTATTACCATACTAACGTTGCTTATTACTAGTATTATTATTTCGAGTAAGTACTTAACATTGTTTGTTTTCCGAAATTTTGGTCCTTTTTTGCTTATAAAAAATCTTATTTGTATTCTTTTTCGTTAAAGGGATACAAGCAGAGGAGCATGAAGAACTAAAAGCGGAACTCAGTGGAATGCGGACACCTGCGTATAAAAACGATCGTGTAATTGAAGCCCTAATGAGACAGAAAAGAGACACTCTCAAGATTGTTCCAAAATCATACGTAGAGCAGACAAATCATGTTGATGAATTACAAAGAGGTAAAAGGCTGCGACGAGGCTTGCCGAAATTTGATAATTTTCTGAGTGGCCTTGACAAAAAATTGAGTTCCCATGATATTACCTCAAACAGAACTGGACTAGTAAATTATTTTGCTTCCCGACTTTACCAAGAAAACGTCACTTTTCCCGAAAATGAGGGAAAAAACGACGTGTATGGATCCCGAGACGTGCAAATTGGCAATACTTTTTCTGACAATCCTAATGGAACGAATGTGTATGGACCTATTCTCGTACAAAATAATAATATCTATCGAGGGAAGAATAAAAATGCTCAATACGGAGCTAGTATTACGCAAATTGGTAACAGATATCCTGAGCATCCTGGTATAAATGATATCTATACTGGCGTAGTCGTTCAGAATGGTAACACCTACTCAGTAAATCCCGGAAATAAAACTTCGTTTGCAATTAATGTTAATCAATCTAACAATACTTATCCGGAATCGATAGAAAATAACAATGACGCATTGAAGCCAATCATCCATCAAAGCGGAAACTTTTATCCCTCCAGTAATGACTCAGAAGCTGGAATGAGGACAAAATATAACACAGAGAGCCAAGGAGGTTCTGTGGAGCAGAATACATCTGACAGTCAAGGAAATTCATCATCTACCAATTATGATTCTGACTCAAGCTCATATATAGAAAGTACGACACTACGTTATGAGGAGAGAGAAGCATATGCAAACAAGCACACCAAACCTAACGGACAAATAAGTTTGTCATCTAATGTATTTTACTCACTTTCATATTCTTTCATCATATTGCTGAAATATGTTCAATTTCAGTATTAAACACTAAAAGTTATTCAAAATTCTATCTAATATACCAGCTATATTATTATATCCGTTAAAAGTTTTCATTTATCTCTTACACATATCCTCCGTATCATATGTAATTGCAAACAAACTGCGTGATACTTACTGATTAATCCTTAAAATTCACATATTCTAGCAATATGACTGAAATTTATTTTCTATTATCAATCGGTTCTGTTATTGAAATTACAGTATCTATCAACCATTCATTTGGATCTATTAGTTAAATCAAATATGTTACAATAAAGTTTAAGATTCTTTCCGTTTTTCTTATTATTAACACATCAGGTAATATTAAACACTCCTCAAAATGAATGATAAAATTATTTCTTCCTAATCTTGAAATAATTGACATGTTGTGGAGAGTTGTTCACTATTTTTGTTCATCATTCAAAAAGCTATAGGATTATGACTTTGATAAATAATTAAGATTAATATTAACCGTACTGAGATCTTAATCAGATCAACTATTAAATTCAATCGAATTGAAAAGAGTTTTGAATAACTACGCGTAGTTATTCAAAACGGTTAATATTAATCTTAATTATTTATCAAAGTCATAATCCTATAGCTTTTTCTAGTAGAGCTCTTCTAGAACATATCACTCGAGTAAGTCTTGTTCATACTTGCCAACGTCATGCCAACCTAGTTACGTTATAATATTTCGAATTTGTAAAGAAAAGTTTTTAACTAAATCCCGCGATGTTTAGGTAATTTAGTATGTCTCACGATAGTTATTATAAAGGACGTTAGATAATTCATTAAAACTTCTAGGATGTTCGATCGAGACAAGCAAACTGTTCATAAATATAGCAGAACTGGCTAGTCTCATCAGACGAGTTCCACATTTACTAAGTGATTGATCCGGACCACAGACTAGCTAGAGGTTTTACGGTCAACAGCTCTCTGCTCTACACACAGCCTATTTTCGTATGTGCATAGTTCAGTAGGGTGGCCCTAGATAATTACCACTAACATATTAATAGTTTCCCTATAAAAACAGTGACCTATTAATTTTGTGGGTTCGTTCTTCCGTATTGGGAGTATATTATTACTAAGTGTCACGATGTGAGAAATTTATCAATTTTATTTTTCAGGCATACAAACTTTTTGTTTAGTAAATTAAACTTACACTTCTTATTGAAATAAATAATTACTAAATAGATCTTAGTAGACAAGACTTAGTTCGTTTTGTTACTACAAAGTGGCATCATAAAATTGAAATGTGTTATTGATTTTTTTTATCCTTTAGTACGGTGTCTATGTTATGTTATCTTTTGTTTTGTTGTATTGTTATGTTATCTTTGATAAAATACTTAAGCACTATTTTTGAGTTAGAAAGAGATCTTTGGTTTATACTTACAGTTAAGTTGTAAAAATTATAAGTGAGATTGTCCATTTTTATTAGAGTTCGTGGTAGCTACATAGGTAATAATAAAGACTTGTCAGTGAGGCAAATTATTATCTATATGAGTGGTATTCGGAAATTCTACGTGTACCAAAGTTTGATGTCTACTTAGTCGGGCGGGTATAGTTAGGTAATAAGTAATTGTAATATTAATAGGTAGGTAATATTACTTCAAGGACTATAAATAACTACTTACATAACTACAATCCGCATTACACACATTATTCACCACTACTGACGCGTTCCTATCAATAGTTAATTATTTAAAATTACTAAAACATAATATGAAGTCAGTTCATCATCATCAACAACAGCTTACAAATGCCCACTGCTGAGCAAAGCCTCTTCTCACGCGGAGAAGGCTTGAGCATTAATCACCACGCTTATAATTAGAAATTATAAACCCAGGTTTCCTCACGATGTTTTCGTTCTCCGTTTGTCAGTGGTGACTAGATAATCTTAGTTTATACATTTAAACATTGTTATTTGCCGTTGGTAGATTTAGAACCCGCATTCTCATGCATGAGAGGCGGCGTTTTTAACTTTCGGTTCACCACGAAATTCAGTCAGTTATTTTATTTTACTAAAAATATAATAAAAACACGTTCCAAACACATCCAATGAAAACAAAAGTCATTAAGGTAGTGTAACCGATGTTATAATTCTGGCATCATTGTGTCGACAGAATGTCACCTCGATTGCTAATGAAAGTAATCTAGTTCAGTAGTAGCATATTCATTCAGTATTCAGTCCTTTCAGGTTAATGTGTAACATCCACTTTTAGGTTAATTCTGCCTCTCATCAACACCGATTTAGAAATAGCTTTGTGTTTTACTGAATGTCAAGATAAGGCCGACAGATAAGAAATTCTGATTTACTGGCCTAGTCTGACTAGGAATTGTTAGTATTTTAGTTTTTAGATAGTCTCGATAGTTGAATATTTAGAAAATGTAAGCATTATATTTTGTATATTTGTCAATATAATCTTTAATTTAATTTGTTATCACTACAAAATTACGGGAAATTAACTTTACCAACTGTATTCTGTTCATACCTCACTTGAGCGAGAACTATGCTTTATTATAGGTATTCCGTAAAATCAATTATATCTTAATTGAGTATTTATAACACCAGCTATCTACTTAGCTACGGTATTTTTCAGTTAAAATCATTATCTAACTCAAAACTCTTCAACAATGATCTTCCTAACTTAGCCTGTCAAAGAGTAAAGTTCGGGACAGTTCTAAGCTCGAACAATGGCCGTTGGTGGCAATCTGTTTGTCCAGCTCACCGGGACACTCCAGGCCGGTATCAGGCGGCGCCAATTAATGCAGCTAGGGACGACTTGCGAACCTAAGACTTAGTGTTAGACTGTTAGTTGCTAGTTTGGTTTGAATAATAATGAGGTGGGTTGCAGGTATTGCGACTAATGGTGGCCAAACGTCGACCCATTTCATACCTTTATATAAATACCAGCAGCCCGTCCCGGCTTCGCACGGGGTAGACAATTATTTATTTTTGGTAATTTGGATTGTTGTAGTGACATAACTACAATAGTTGGACATATGCTACCGCGGAGTTTTTTGTAGACATTATGATGTTCTACAATATTGTTGTACATTATTTTGTTCTATCGCTGATAGTTTCGGCAGCGCATTCGTCGAAAGACTTTTTAAAACCTATTTTTCTACACCTTCGGTTACATTGTTCAAATTTTACTAAGGATCCCTAATTTTTTCAAAATGAAATGTAGCCTATATCAAATTGGAAGAATGTAGCATTCCATTGGTGAAAGAATTTTTTAAATCGGCCCAGTACTTTTTGAGCCTATTCATTACAAACATACAAAAATAGGTACAAATCTTTCCTCTTTATAATATTAGTATAGATATGTGGAGTTTTGGATATGCGCCGGTATCTTGGACATTGCCCTGTCTATTTTAAATGCTCTTAAGATCTGGTAATGGTTTTATGAAAGTGATTGGGTACTCTTAATATGTCGTTTGTAATTACTAATTAGTGTAATCTACTGAGGAGGAGGTATCACAGTGCTCATGTAGTTTCCTTATATAATAGGTAACTTGATGTCTGGGATCTGGGATTTGATCGATCTACAAGACCGATTCGCAGTTGTGTACACAAGGAGAACGAAAAACAAAAAGGCACGGCAACAAATTACTGAAAGTGTATGGCAACCAACGGGTGAAAAAATACATACGAGTAAGTACGTATGTATTGAACACCCTTTCCCCAAATATATAAATTATTTAAAACAAATACTATATTTCGTCTGTATATAAAGTCGTAAAGTTTACAATGGAGGATGACAATGTAGGGATAAAATAAGTTTATGGACAATAAAACGTGATTTCCCATGAACGAGACGCGTGTAAGGGAACTTAAATTTCTATTGCTATCTAGTAACCCATGAGACGGGGGTTCGATGCTCGTAGAAGCCATTTTCAAGATATTATCTGATAAACTGAATTCTTTAATTTTATGGGGGAGGGAAATTTTATTTAGGAATTATGTGATAATTTTATTGAAGCAGATTTTCACTAAAGGAATTATAGTAATGTATTTATAATGTAGAGGTAATTATAGTAATCCATATGTTTTACTATAGGTCGATTGACTAAGGGCTTGTGTACACAAAACTGCGACGCGACGTCGCATCGCAAAAATGTGCGAATTGATTTACATCGCGCATCAAAATCTTATCTTCCCAAATTTTCTTTGTTTCTTTTACCTGTATCTACTAAGCAACAATAGAAGTGCACACTTCTTTTTACGATCCATCCCACGAGCTAGTTGTTTCAATTTAAAATACGTTTAGCACGGTATGACGGTCGTCGAAGGAATGGACAACCTGGGAGACGTCTTGTCGCATGAAATCGCATCGTAATTTTTTGTGTTACAAATTCGCATCGCATCGCATCACAGTTTTGTGTACGAGCCCTGATTATTTTTGTGACCATAGTGATAAACTTTAAAAAGTTAATAAGGTCTCGCCTTCGATTTTGAAGTGATTTTTTGATCTCGACGTTAACTCATAAGATCTGAAATCTTCATCCATAGCAAGCACTTTTTCACTAAATAAACAAATCACTTATACTCTATAGCTCAAACAAATAACTAACAATAAATAAAACTTTTGTTCATAACAACTTGTCTCAACTACTTTGGAGAAGAAATACCGAAACAAACTCAGAGGTCAAAACAAATGAACGAAATTATTCTCTCTACTCATAGATATAAGGTATTATATCATCAAATATATTCGTATCTCGGCCTACCACTCCAGAGTTTAGCCACGTCTATATACTACGTCACAGGACAATGACCCCGCAGCACAACATACCCCGTTCATTGAGTCCTGTAAACATTTATCAGAGATTTTTCAGAAGGACAGTTTCTGAGAAGGGTCAGAAATCAGACAAAACTGTGACATAGGTAAGCTAAGCTAAGCATAGTTCAATATTAGTTGTATTTATGACCTTCTTTTAAATTTGTATAAATGCAGCCGATAAAGCACAAATGTAGTTTAAACGTTCTGCTTAGAATTGACTGTCACAAAGCTACATGGACTAATATTAACTATTATTACTATTTTTCATTTATTTTATTCATTTTCTATTCATCACCTATTACAGTACCTGAATCCCCTTTCTTATTTGAATTACCTGCGTTTTTGTGATTTTAAATCCAAGATTTGGGAAATCTCTTGTCTATTCATATCTCGTCATAAACAAGTGTTATTATTCTGCTTTGTCCCTGTTTTGTGGTTCACCATCAATCCGTAGTGATGGCATCATCAGTTTATTGA